TGAACGATAGCACTGTAAATCCATGACTGTGTAAAATAATATCCATCCCCATTCTTCCCGTGGTCATCCCATGGTATCACGTAACTGTTCAGGGCTTTAAAAGTTAAAAAAATAGCAAAACAACACAAAACCCCCACCTCCCCCCAAAAAAAACTCATCACTGTAAAACTCGTGCAGAACGAAAAAACAGAAGCACAGAGAAAAACCAACGGTGCTTCAGGTTCAGGTGCTCCAATACCTACATCTGTGAAACCAAACAGTACATTTGAAGTTATTGGTTGAAGGATTTCCTTCTCGGCTGCATGTGAGTACATATGCAATAAAGCACATGGTAAAACTAATCCATTGTACAAGTGTATTAGCTCTTGCGGAGTTACAGCAATGGGGAATTTAGTCCAGCATAGTAACCCTTCGGTTACTTATGCTTGATTCAAAAAGAAATTTTAGATGTTTGGTCAAATTCATGTTCTTTAGGCCAAGTCTTTTGTTAAATTAACAGAAAATGCTGTTTGACGAGATGTAACGAAGAATGACTATTTGACCAAGTTTCACTCATTTAACTGAGCATCTTCTTCAGACCTTCACAGAAACATATTTGCTATGGCTGCAGTGTGATCCAGTCTCTCCTCCGAGCATCATACACTGTTCCCTTCAAGATCTCCAGAAAGTCTACCCACCTACGGTTTTATAGGTCCCAACATTTCCACACAGAGACTGTTCTCCAGACCAACAGATTTGGCAACTGGTTAGTTTCAATTGCCTGGATTTTTTGTATTTATACTACATTTTAATTTTTAAATTTAATCTCTTCACCTCTACTTATAATACTTTTTGAACTTCTTAACCATATTTGCAGGCCCCAAAGCAAACAATTAGCATTGCTTCTTCCTTTTTTTTTCTTTGTAACTCTGGCTTTGGTGCAGTTATTGTTTTATTTGATTTGATTTGTTTCCTCAATCTGTTGACCAGCTGGTTTAGATTTCAGAGAGGATTTCTATCAACATCACAACCTCCTCCTGCAGAGAAACTTTCCAAGATTATACCTTTACAGTCCAAATCATAAAACCAATGTATTACATTACTCCTAGCAAATCTCCATCCATTTCTAAGCCAAAAAAAAAAAAAGTTACTTCTGCACTTTCTCTACATTTCCTATATGTTCAGTAAAACAACTTTGGACTTTAGTAAAGGCCACATTTTTAATGTCTTCATAAAATATCAACATTTCTATACTCCTGTCTCTTTGAGCTCTTATAACTCCCTCCAGATTACAACCACAAGAGCAAACAACAGCAACTCTCCTCATCAACTTCTCCTGACTATAACAAATCAGAAGCTGATTACCTGCTTATCACCCAGCACTCTGTCAAGAGCTCAAGACTTAATTCAGTCTTATTTACTCACAGAGAAGCCCTTTAGCTGCTTTGTGGAAGGATCATCCCCTGCCAAAGATTTGCTTTTGTAACAAAGTAATAGACCTGTATTTTGCTCTCTGTGCACAACGTTCGTTGTCAGTGCTGTCCTATGTGAGGACGCAGAGATGTTGGCATTTTTGGGATGTTACTTTAATATAAGCCAAACATGGAGGGGAGGGACTCAGTATATTCTTGGAGCCTGAAAACTCAGTGTTAGCACTTGACAAAACAAATGCAGGCCTCTGATTCAGAAAAAATAAATACAAACGTCTTCCCACCCTGATTTCACTATTTGGATTATTGCCTAGATAATTCATTTGAAAACCAAATCCAGCCTAGCAACTGTCTTGAAAATTGAGTAACCTCAGGTTCAACTGTATTAAAAAACTTCAGCTTCAGGCAAAACTGGTGGAACAGCTCATTCGCAGTACTTTCACCAAGCCCTGGCCCTCATTTTATGTTTTTCTGATTACACTTACATTGTGTTACAATTTACCGGCAGCACTATTGTATTATAATATATATTACCACTAGCCGACTCTGACTATATGCATTCAGCTTCAGCAACAGCTAAAGACGCATGGCTCAATGCATATTCATTCCTGTATTGCCATTTCTCAGCTGTTAAAACAACTGCATGAATCAGCAACAAGTTTCACAACTTAAAATAGATGTAACCCTGCAGGATACTTGGGCTCAATGCGCATTATGATTCTCACTCGTAGGCTGGTAGGAGTTAGGGACGTGGTGCACTTAACTACAGTATTTCTCCACTCAAGCATAGCACTACCCTGAAGGTGTAAGCTACGTTAGCGTTTCAGTTTGGAGCAGAAGTGTGCTTTTGTAATAGATCTCCTGATCATTGTCACTTACCATGCTTTGGTTCACTTCACGGAGTAGTCTTGGGATGAATGAACCCAATTCCTTTTGATGAAGCTAAACCAGAAATGCACCACTGGCTTCCATCTGCTAGTGGCACATGGTTCAGAGGACCAAACTGCAGCTACTGAAAAGCAAACCCTCTTGAAACACACATAGTGTGTTCTGGGTCCTCGATACAAACTGTTTTGTTCTGCAGACCTGCTCCTCTCAGCCCATGCTGCTTGCTAAATGTAGACAGAGCTGAACACGGCTGTCTGGCTTCTAAAGAGGAGCTAGCGCTTCAGGCTAGCCTGTCATGGAGGCAGGAATTCATGACATAAACCTTGGGGTTGGATGGTTTCTATCCTCGGCGAACAAAAATGTTTCCTTTAAGTTAACAATCATATCTGGCTTTATGAAAAAAAACCAAACATCTAGCAAACACATAATCTTCTGTTTGGAGGACATTCTTAACTCTCTTCCAGGTCCTCAGCTCAAAAAGACATCTAAGAGTACATGCTCATTATTCAGTCAACGAGCAAATAAACCGCTTTTATTCATTTGCTGTGCCAAAAATCTGTAGAGTCACTCATACATGTTGCAGTTATTGTACTTTTAATATTTCTTAGTCCTTCCCCTGTTTGGGGTATGCACCACTACTTATCATGGAAAAATCAAGTGTTATGCCATCCCCACATGTTTTTATCTATCACTATCGGGTGCATAGATATGCATGTGTCACTGCCAGAAGAGCTTGGTATCTATTTTAAATTACTGCAATAATAAGGAAAGTGGCTATATTACATTTACATTAAAATAATGTAATGCCAAACACTTAATATGAAAAGGGATTCCTGAACATAGTTTGCTCAGTATGTTTCCAATACAACTATTCTACTGCTGCTGCAATGCCACAGTAGATAATATTGTAGATATTGTTGTTGATAATACGTAGAAACTGCATATCCTCTAGGAATTTCACTACATATTTGCTGTGTTTCCTTAGTTGGCAACACAGTCCCTTCCTTCACCTTACTTCAGTGCAAAACCAAACTCTACATGTGATCACTTACAGAGTTCTGCCTAATTATATAAATGTGTAATTATATAAATGTACTAATTATACACACTTTTCAAATAGTGATAGACTTCAAAGTAGGTAGATTTTAAATTGTGCCATTAAGAAAATCTACTTGATGACGGACTTTTCTGTAATATCATATTGCAATCTTCTACATCATAATTTTGCTTTCAAGTCAGTATTAATTTAATGACAAATAACAGCAGAGAATAATAGAGTTGGGAAAGCAAACTGAAAGCTGTAAGATTTACAGTGTGATATTGGTCAGCAGATGTTAACAAAAAGGATCAAAAACGATTTGGAAAAGCAATGGATCTAAGGTAAACAATGAGTAGAAAAAAGTTCTGCATGATAAATATGAACACTGAATCTTCAGAAACTACTCGGTTAACAAAGATAAATACCTGCAAGACTGACTTATCCCCATGTGTTCACCTACTCCTGAGAAAATATATATGTCATTGAACACTTAATTTACATGCACAGTTATCACACCACTAAGAACGACTTGCAAATTAGTTACTTGCAGTTCAGAGCATCTCTTTGCATGCAAAATAAGGCCAACTGCAAGTACAAACCAGCCCTACAAGTGCACACATAGCTCAGCCCACCAATGTCATACACACATTTATGAAAACCAAACTGCCACACAAGACTTCAGCACGTTCACCTCCTTTTCGTACCTTGGTACATGTTTCTAAGTGATATACCCTCACTTTTCAAAACACAGTTCTTTACCTTTAACATTAGATATTCACCACAAACCCTGGTTCTTCAACATAAACCTTTAGTGAAGATATAGTACAGGTGAATGCATGAAAGCTGATATTCTTTTAGCACTACTTAATAGTTACTCTCTCTATTGCCCTGATGTCCTTGGTAAGTAGTTTATTTCATATAAGTTATAAGAATTTATATAGCTCTGCTGTAGAATTTGGATCTTGCATTGTCAAGACCACTAGGCAGATCAGACAGCAATTACAATGCAGCAACACTATAGGACACTAATCCCTCTGCCTTTAAAGTTAAATAATAGCTTATGTGGCTGGGAAGAGACAGAATCCATCTTCATTGAAAAATAGGACTGTGTATAGACAGGGAAATGGTCGATCTTCTCTCACACAAATCCTAGTGTCAAAACAAGTAGTCTTACTAAGTCACGGGCTGTCACATTTAATCAAAGACATTTATGGAATGGCTTGATAGAAGCATCTTATAAGCAGCAGGTGGGTGATCCTGAGTTACCAAGCTCAAATATTGATTAGGACCTTCCCCCAGTATTCAAGAACTTCTAGGTCTGAGATTTTAGCTACAACCTTCAGAGTATGGGGTCCAGATACACTTGAATAGCTTTAAGATCACAGACTTTTGCTCTGCTGCAGCCACATAAAAGGAAAACTCTAGAAGAGATTAAAACTATCTCCGCACAAATAACTACTTTTCTTTCTGCATAGTTATAAAATGACTCACATACAAAAAAAACATTTCACACAAGTTGGGATTTAAAGCAAATGTGATGGAATGAGGAGCCTCAATAGCAACACGGAGACAATGCACAGCACAAGAAGTGATTTTGTGCTAATTGGTAACATCTTTGACCTCTGCTTATATGTGAAGCAATTCCACGCCCTGCCCAATGTTACCTTTTGATATTCTTCCTTAGATCTCAAGGCAGCTTCCATCTGTTCCTGAGAAAACGTGTAGATGGCTGAGCGATACTGTGTGCCAAAGTCATTACCTTGTCGCATTCCTGGGGAGGGAGAAAACACAGCACACCATGAGGATCATCCTCCCTACCTGACCGGGCTGCAGGCATAAATTCAACAGACCTAAATTTAGGATGTCCCATAGACCTGGATTAGCACGGTCTGTTACGTGCATACTCAGTAGGTATTTTTAGGAAGTCCAAGTCTTTTTCTGGTTAAATAGTCCCCAAGAGATTCAACTCTGATATCTCCTTTTAAATGACATGCAAATGAAATGTGAGCATTTTACGTTTTGGTACATCACACAGTTGTCAAATACAGATGTAAAACCTTAAATAATCAAGCTGCATTTACTGTAATCAAGGTACTCTTAAAATATTTATTTCAAACCATGCAAATGGCTACAAAAAAAAGTTTATTTTACCAAGTGCTTAAAAATTTTCTTGTGCTGGAGGAGTACATCTTAATGGGAGAAATGTTCAAAAGACCCTTGGAGATAACTAGCTATTCTCCTCTATTCACAAAGCAATGATGTTGCTAAAAGACTAGTATGCATGTGTTGCTGTATTAACTCTGAAGTTATCAATTCCTACCATCATCACCACTGTGGAGAGAAGGAATGACTGTTATGAATCTCTCAAATCTGAGCTCCAAAGAGGACTCCAATAGAGAAGTATGCTAAGGAGAAGGTTTGGAGAAAGTCTGGCTGCGTTAGTACTGTTATAGAGTGCTCAGGAACAGCAACCGTTTCACAATTTTTTTGAGTTTGGGAGAAGTAGAAAACAAAGGTATATATGTAATCTCTACTAAATTCTATTTGCAACCTACATGTGGATAATATGAACGGCAAAAGTATATAATACTGTTTATGTTTAACACTAGGAAAACAAAACCCTAGCTGTACATACTCAGTAACTCCTTGAAATTATATCATAAATGAGTACTTTTGGTACAAGGATTAGCCCCTTTACTGTATGTAACCCCTTCAAAAGACTAGTTGTATGATGTGCTCATGTATGAATTTCCAAAATATGAGATGAATTCTACCTATGAAGCTATAAAATAATGGGCCAAAGCAGAAGAAAGTTTACTCTCCCCTTAGGTGACTAGCCCAGATATGGTTTGGCATTATGCAGTCCTAGGCAGCCACGCTGGCCAAAGGCATTGCTGTCTTTCATCACTATCCATTCCCATTCCCTCAGGCAGCAATACCGCAGGCCAGGTTTGCTGTGGATCATTCCATAACGTCAAACAACAGCCTTGGAGAGGAGCTTTAGCATTAAGAATGATCTGGAGGCACAGTTTTGCAACTGCAACCACAGTTTTGCAGTTTCTGTCTTTCGTAACCTTGTCCCCAATTTTGCATTCTAGAAGAGAACTTTTTGGTTTGCTGTAATAAAATGTATTAATTTTGAGTTTGTCTGGTGTTTTACGTGTTTTATGGGTGAGTGAAAAAGCTGGAGTGACTGCAACCCAAGGCAAATTGGAAATCATGAGGATTTGTCTTTTGACTGCCACTAGGCTACAAAAGCCCCTTTGAAGATTACCATCAACTCTCAGGACTATGGAGATGAAACAGAGAAAAACTGTACGTTCTGATACCCCCCAGCAAAGGGCAGAGGGTAGAGAAAGAGCCTGTGATACTGGGGGAAAAGATGCTATCAACATAATACCACTCATTAAAAGATGGTAACTTTTAGCCTTCTTGTACTTTCTAAAGAAACAGAAAAATGGTTTCAAGGATAGCACAATAAACAAATGAAATCTGGCTGAAATATTTATGAACTAAAAGATGCAGAAATGTTTTCAAAGATGCATTTGGACAAAAAGTCCATTCAGTGACTAACAGTATACGTGAGTGAATGTGATTCTGAAAAACGTTATGGAGTTTTCTGATTATTTGGGTTACTTTCTAACTGCTAAGATGTTACACTATTACAAATAAGAACAACAACTACGTTCTTCATCAATACTTAAGGGTGTGGTCTGCAACATTTTGCTCATTTCTTTGCAAATTATTTTAGGGTAGTGGGGAGCTCTTGCAAAGCCAGTGCTACTGAATAGTTAGGAATAAAATTAATACAGACCAGTAGAGCATTAGTTTTGCCAGGATATGTTAATGCTGATTGATGTCTGAGCTTAAGCATTAGCATTCTACAAATCTATTTATTGCTTAACAAACTACATAACAACCGACTAGGGAGTAGATTACAAAAATCTCTATAAATGGAGGATCACTACATGGTATGCCGGTTTCTAGCATGCATTTCAAGAGTATGAGTTTAGCATGAGCTCATGTGGACGGTGCTCTGAGTGAGAAGATAAACAAGGTTATTTAATATACACATGTGTGACCATTACATAGTAATAGGGAAGTGGTCAGCTTAATTAATTTATTGAAGAGAAGGTTAAGACGAGAACTAACTGACTCTGATTTACAAATACATATATAGAGAAATAACCTGAGAAATAAGGCTCTTCAGTCTTGCCAAAGTTGCTTAACTAGGTAGAGCAATTGAAAGCCAAAGTAATACAAAATCCAGATGAGAAATAAGGCGACATTCAAATAGCGCAGCACATTTCTCACTGGAACAATGCACCTAAAGCCACATCCCTTTCCTGAGGTCTTCACATCAAGGATATACATCTTCCCCAAAGATATACCAAAGCTCAAAGAGCTGTACAAGGTCGGTGATGAAATTACAGAGTTAAAGCTAAGGAGGAGGTCAGACTGTGTGATAATAACGGCCTCTCCAAGTGCTCAAGGGTTGGCTTGCACTGTTAAACCATCCACTAGCCATGAAGAAGACTGAACAGGTATTGTAAGTATTACCCTGAAGTGTAGCTTTAATGTGATCAATCACCTAAGCTAAAATGTCATTTATTTTTACTTGTTACTTAAATCAATTTGTACCTAAATCTCCCGCAATAAATAGCTGATACGTTGTCTGACTAAGCCACAAAGACTACGAGATACTAAAATAAAATAAATTCCATAGACATATAGACATAATCAATTGCTACTGTTGCTGTTGTTATTTGTAATGTACTTCACATGTGCAAACTTACTTCTCAAGGGCCCATCACTGATTTTTTAAAACCCTCTGGCAAGGGTGAGATTCACTAACTCAATGAGTAGCAAACAAGGCAAGAAATTTAATTTAATAAACAACTGTGGTAGGATGATTGAGGTTAACAATCTTGTCTCTGTCTGAAAGAAAGTCTACTAAATAAAAAATTATCTCTGCTTGGCTATCTAAAAATTCCACAATGTCACCTGTAGTTAACTTTCCTTCCTTTTCCGAAATGTCTTTCTTATTTTGTCTGTCATGACATTCTGTCTTTCTCTGTTAACATAACACCACAGTTATACATGTTAGGCTTCAGATAAGAATGAGAAAATACAAATAATTAATTTAATAAAGATGCTATACATATTGGAAGATATTATGTACTGCTAAATCAAAAGCCATTCTTACAAGGGATTGTCAACATTGCTGCCATTGATTCTAGCTACACTGGATGGACATTAGACTCTGAAAAAGTGTTCTGCTGAGACAACAAGCCAAACACAAAGAAAATCAGCTGCCATGCTGAGAACAGCCTTAAAATCTCTCATCAAAGAGATGTTTAGATAGAGAGGGTGATTTTAGAACTGATAGAAAAGCACAGAATTTGCACCTCTCTGGCAAGATACAAAAATACGTGGTTTTAGATACAGCTGCAGGGTGCCAAAGAATATAAGCCCAAAGCACAGTGCCTACATAAGCACTGGCCAGTCCTTGAAAGCTCTTGTCTCTGGAGAACCAGTGAGGATGAGGGCATTTGGAGCTCTAAATATGTTTAGGTCTTGGGCATGGATCACATTCAGGAATTTCACTTTGGCTGACCAAAGCACCTCAGTGGTTCTCAGCCTGAACCACTCTAGAGAACATAAAATTTCCTCACTCTGCCAGCAGAGACCAGAACACCAATTAATCAAAAAATGCCCTCAAGAGCTGAGCGCTTGCTCTGACTTACATGAAGCAGAAATTTGTGGCCACAGGATGGCAGATGGAAAGACAGGGAGCTGTGATGGTCTCCCAGATCTTGCAAAAGGAATGATTCCCAGGTTGAGATTGCCATGCAATACAAACACATTGCCACTGGAAAAACCATTATTTGCCAAAACGTAGGTAAGAGTCAAAGAAATGGCTCTAAAAAGCCCTCTTACCAACACTTTGATATCTTCTGATGCACCTGGGTAGGAATGACTTAGCTTTGGTCTCCCCCATATCCTTTGGCATCAAAGTAGTAAATACTAGCTCTCCTTTGATTTGAATGATCAGAATATATGCTTCTATTCAGCTGGTCAATGCTTTTTTGTTCATAGTTTCTATACTGTGTCAAAACTACAGTGTCTTCTTCGCGGGGGCAAAGAGTTGCCCTTTTAAAGCAGTTACACTGCTGTTACGCTACAGTTTGAGTTTCTGTTGAGATGCATCTGTTCTGGTTTCGGCTGGGATAGAGTTAATTTTCCTCCCAGTAGCTGGTATAGTGCTGTGTTCTGGATTTAGTACAAGAATAATGTTGATAACACACTGATGTTTAGTTGTTGCTTAGTAGTGCTTACGCTAGTCAAGGACTTTTCAGCTTCCCATGCTCTGCCAGGGGCACAAGAAGCTGGGAGGGAGCACAGCCAGGACAGCTGACCCAAACTGGCCAAAGGGCTACTCCATACCATATGACATCATGCTCAGTATATAGACTGGGGGGAGTTGGCTGGGGGGCAGCAATCACTGCTCGGGGGCTGGCTGGGCATCAGTCGGTGGGTGGTGGGTGGTTGCATCACATGTTTTTCCTGGGTTTTGTTCCCCCCTCTCTCTCTCTCTCTCTCTCCCCCTTGTTGTTTTCCTTTTCGTTACAATTTTTTTTTTTTCCCCAATTATTAAACTGTTCTTATCTCAACCCACTGTTTTCTTACTTTTGTTCTCTCCCCCATCCCACCAGGGGGGAGGGTGAGCAAGTGGCTGCGTGGTGCTTGGTTGCCGATTGAGGTTAAACC